TGATTTCGCTTTTGGCTGCCGCTGCCGCCTTGTCTGTTCAGCTTGTCTCCCTTCATGATTTCGCTCTTGGCTGCCGCTGCCGCCTTGTCTGTTCAGCTTGTCTCCCTTCATGATTTCGCTTTTGGCTGCCGCTGCCGCCTTGTCTCTCAAGCTTGTCTTCCTTCATGATTTCGCTCTTGGCTGCCGCTGCCGCCTTGTCTCCCAAGCTTGTCTCCCTTCATGATTTCGCATTTTGCTGCCGCTGCCGCCTTGTCTCTCAAGCTTGTCTCCCTTCATGATTTCGCTCTTGGCTGCCGCTGCCGTCTTGTCTCCCAAGCTTGTCTCCCTTCACGATTTCGCTCTTGGCTGCCTCTGCCGGCTTGTCTTCCAAGCTTGTCTCCCTTCGTGATTTCGCTTTTGGCTGCCGCTGCCGCCGTGGTTCCCAAGCTTGTCTCTGTTCCTGATTTCGCTCTTGGCTGCCGCTGCCGCCTTGTCATTTTCTTGCCTGCCTTTGATGCGGATGCTGTTATAAGATGATTAGGTCTTGTTTACCTTTTCCATCCCTGTCCCCGCTTTGAGTGAAATGTCTCCCAAGCTTGTCTCCTGCTCTTGCCATGCTATCCTTTTCTTGAAGTGCTATCTGGGGTCTATGCCGGTATAGTATTTTTTAAATTACCTCATCTAGACCTAAATACCTTAATATTATTGTCAATTTATATTATTTTAGAGATTATATTCATAATCATTTCTAAATAATATATTTAAAACATACATAAATATCAATAAAGATTGTTTTATAAAAATATTACACCGGCAAGGGACCCCAAATAGTATAAAGAGGAACAGATGGAACATGGCATCACGTGGAAGGAAAGAAGGAGCACACAGATGAGAGCACAAATATGAGAGGATACATACGAGAGCGCAAATGTGAGAGTGCAGATTCACGAGCACAAATGAGAGCACACATATGAGAGCATATGGGAGCACATATGAGAGCACATGCGAGCACACATCTGAGAGCACAAATGTGAGAGCACATACAAGCACAAATCTGAGAGCACATAGGCGAATACATAGGAGCATTTCAAAGTTCACAATGTACCGCGCCTGCTACGAAATCTGCACATGGAGGTTCACAAAGTGCTGCGCCTGCCACGAAATCTGCACATTGAGATTCACAAAGCGCTGTGCCTGCTACGAAATCTACGCATCGAGATTCACGAAGCGCTGCACCTGCCACGAAATCTCCACTTCCAGACTCAGCAAGTGCTGCGCCTGCCACGAAATCTGCACATCTAGGTTCACACAGTGCTGCGCCTGCCACGAAATCTGCGCATCGAGATTCACAAAGTGCTGCGCCTGCCACGAAATCTGCGCATCGAGCTTCACAAAGTGCTGCGCCTGCCACGAAATCTGCGCATCGAGATTCACAAAGTGCTGCGCCTGCCACGCAATCTGCACATCGAGATTCACAAAGTGCTGCGCCTGCCACGAAATCTGCACATCCAGATTCACAGAGTGCTGCGCCTGCCACGAAATCTGCACATCGGAGATCCAAAATGAGCAAATTGCACGAGGCTTTCGCACATTTTGAAATGCGTTTCAGAAATGCTGCACCTGCGATGAAATCATGCCTGCAGGTCATACGAAATGCTGCACTGGCCAGGCAAAAGCATCCTCAAGTTCAAATTCCAAAAATGCGACCCCTCTCACGAATTCAACCGTTTCACCTCAAAATATCGCATCCATGGTGCGGATTCCCTGCGCCTGCCACGTGAAACGCAATCCTGCGAATGACACACGCCTGCCAACGTTTTTGCAACGTCCACAAAACACTGCGCCTGCCACGAAATTTACAAAGTCTCCGATTCCTTGCACCTGCCAAGTAAAATGACCTTTTCGAGGCTCCAATGCGTCGAATTCCTTTCGTCTGCCACGCAAAATGCACTTCGTGTCCGAAAACGAGCACGGCACCTGCACGAGAGCTTTGTCCCGGAAGCGCGAAAGGCGCGGCCACCACTTTATGCGAGCCTGCGCAGTCGAAATGGACATGAGGAATTCAAAAAGTAACTTTTGTGCGAGCCGGCCCACGCAAAATGCCGAAACCACACGCGCGAACCCTGATCTAAACCCGCTTAACTCTTACCGTAAGAACCCCTTAGTGCGGAGCACTATTTGGGGAATCATTTAATAGAAAAAAGAAATTTATATTAAATAACTATATATATATTTATTGTATTAATTATTTGATTTAATATATATATATAAATGAATATTTGTTAAAAAATATTTATATATTATTTAGTTTAATTGATTTTTTGAATACTAATTTAACATTCATTTTCCTCAATATTAAAATATTACATATTTTTCATTTCATTTCACAGCCGGCCAGGTGCAGGTTAGCCCGTGTTGGGCAGCACACACGTAGGTGCGGAAGCTTCAAGAGCTTCAGTTGCCTCGGATGGATGCATTCACGGCTGATTGAAAGCATTTGCTAGCAGTTCTATCCACTCATCGGTGGATCTAGGATGAAAGAGCGGCCTTCTCCAAAATTGAGCGAGTCTTTGCTGGGAAGCAAGCCAAAACAAGTAGCAATTTTGCTTGAGCTCTTCATTTAGGCGGCTCTTCCAAGGCAAACGGTCATCATCAGTCATCCAAATATCTCCATTGGTAAGGAGAAATCCTTGGTAGTGACCGGTATCAGGGATCGGGCCCAAGTGCAAGGTCAGAGTGGCGATCCGGAATTGAGTCCACTGCACTTGCTGGCCTCTAGCAATGGCAAGGATCGGAAACAAGACCTCAATTCGGGGGAAATCAATCAGGATCTCATTCTTATGGTGCAGATCAGGGAAACGTTCAATCTGCAAGCACACCATGGGATGCTCACATGTAAGAGCTGCAGTGTGGGGTGATTGACGATGCCATTGGTAAATTAGGTCTTGAAGATAGCAGGTTTTTTGGTCAGGGCAACGAAACAAGATGGGTGCATAGATGGCACCTTGATCAATTGCCTCATCCATTAATCGATTCTGTCATCCCTTTTGGATGGAACCCCAAGGCGTGTGCCTCAAAAATTGCTCACGGAACCATCCTGTATCGTCTTGTTGTCTCCCCTACGGATGATGTATAAACCAATTAGCGTGAAACGAAATGAATGATTCATCAATATTCAGGTCGGCCAATACACCTCAATCATCCATCAAAAAGCGCATGTGCCGACCCCAAGGACCCCACCAATCAGGGGTGAAATCATCAAGCACAATCGTAGCCCAAAACTGACAAATCATCATATTATTCAAAAAATAATTATTAAACACCAAATATTTAAAAACATTGCTTAATATATTCAATTTATTTATTAAAACAATATATATATATATTCCTTCCCAAGATAATCTCCTACAAACAAATATTTCATTCAATATCCGCCGACCCCTGCCTAGCTGACGCCTACGCGGGGCGGCGGGGGGACACCGGAGGGTGAAACGGTTGCTTAATTTGCTTTCGGCCACAGCCGGACCTGCCTGTGGCCACCTACCCGGGCTGCTGCTACGCGGTTCCGAACCTGCTGGAGCCCCGCATGGACATCCCGCTTCAATCTGAGCCTGATTAGACACCCTTTCTATTCACCTGGGCTGCTGCACGCCTGCACCTGGGCCTAGTTGCGCTGCTACTACGGGTTAGGCATTTTGGCTGGCTGCGGTTCATTTGTTCTTGGTGTGGAATTAGATGGTGGAAAATTGTGGCGATATAGATTGCCGGGAACCTTGGCGACGTGCCAGGCAACGTTAGGCACTTTGGTTGCCTACACCCCGTTCCGACTGTTTTTGTGGGTAGAAAGAGATGGTGTCGTTTGCTCGCCCGGAAACCCTCCGTTGCGGTTGCCTTCTGTCTATACCCGCATCTCAGCCGGGAGCCTTGGGAGGGAACGCCTAGCCCGTGCCAAGCGATAACAACACCAACCCGTTTTGGGCAATCTATACAGCAATAAAATTGTTCTGTGGGCCTTTTCTCGGTTGCCTCTGGACTGCAGCCTTGCGAGTCAGCCTCTAGAACGTGCCAGGAACCTATTAGCGCCCCGTGTAGACATCCCACTTCAAACCGAATCTACTTAAACCCCCCTCAAGTTACTACACGCCTATACCCAAGCCTAATTACGTTACTATTACGGGCTAGCTATAATTCGCCCCTTCTTAATATGGCATACAATAATAGAAAAATTATAACGACATAAATTACCGGAAGTCTTAAACATCCAACAACTATTAATGTGGTTCAGGGATGCTAACTAGGAGCATGGTGGCCCCATTTTCTGGGAATAAAAGATCCAAATTTATGGCATGCATTGCGCACCATCTCAGCATCGTATAGTAAAAACATGGCAGGAGAATCAATGGGCCTTACTTATTACAGAACGAGTTTAGCCAATTACTCTGGAACTTTGACCTACACTACCAAACAACAAAAAGATAGAAACCGACTGCATACTTCAAAATACACAAGTAGCGGTCCTTCAATACCACAAATAAGAACTAAGCTAAATTGTAGTGCTCGGAACGGCAAAAAGCGTTTCAAGACCAACTCCAATTTTTAGATTCCAAAAGCAATATACCTTTAAATAACTATAATTTCTCCGTACCGACAATTATTATATACAAAAATCAATAATCGTTTATCCGTTCAAAAAAATCCGTTATAATTGTTTTCTATCTATCACCTCAATCGGCAATCTTAACCATTCGATAACCACATCAAATCGTTTTAGCCCAATCAAAAAACAACAAAATTACTCTATATATCCCACCTCGATTACCTATAAATTACAACCTTACGAATCAAATTTTAAAAGACCCTTTCTATTCGCCTAAAATATTACACGCCTATACCTATAAGTCTAATTACGCTATTATTACGAATTAAATCTTTTAACCAATTATAATTTCTTAATATAATATAATTGTTAAACAATTATAATTTCTATAATAACATAAATTACCGAAAACCTTAAAATTCAAAAAACTATTACGACCCGACGTGGTAACTTACCCCATCGCACATGAACTTGACCCACCCCCATGGCACACCGCTTACCCCATGAATGTAAGATGGCACACCGCTTCGATACAAGCACGTTTTCTCCTAAATTGTTTCTAAACCTACACGATTCCATTGCGATTCAATCTTCTACATGTTGATGTTTTCTAAGGTTTTGTGTGGGTTGCCGTGATCCAACCCCCATGACACACCGATTCTGACCCACATGTTGGTACCAGCTTCAAGTTTCTACATAGAGTGCAAACAACATGGAATTGTTCTGTAAACGTCAAATATATCTATTCATTCTTGCGTGTTTTCCTCTCCCAATCCCCATGGCACACCGCTTCGAAACAAACACTTGTTCTGCTAGCCTAGATTGTTTCTAAACCTACACCATTCCATTGCGATTCAATCTTCTACATGTTGACGGGTTCTAAGGTTTCCTATGGGCTGCCTTGATCCAACCCCCATGGCACACCGATTCTGACCCACATGTTGGCACCACCTTTAAGTTCCTACCTCGAGGGTAACCACGACTAAGTCACGACAGAGTCCTTGCAGAATTTAGTTTCCGCATGGGACACCGCGTTTCATCAAACAGGCCAAACACTATGCTCTCCAAGCCCAGTTTACAATACTGCCACAATGATAGGGTTTGTGCAACAACAGCCAGCAGCAAATGAGAAGGCTTTGCAGCGCAGGCAGCGGCAGCGGCAGCAAGCAGCGCCAACCAGCAGCAAAAAAACAACACCAACCCAACAGCTAACCAGCAGTAGTTGCCAACCAGCGCCAGCAAACCAACAGCAAAACAGCACAGCGCAGCAGCAGCAGAAGCAGCAGCAGCCAACCAGCAGCAAACCAACAGAGGCTAGAAACCAAATCATCTATGATGTGGGATTGGTGAAAACGGTGTGCACACCCGCTCCCGATCTCTGCCAGAAGTATGCTAAAACCACGACAAAACCCATAGTTAGCTTGCGTTTTGCCTTCTTTGGTGTCTGTGTGTGCGCGCGTTCTTTCCGCGTGGCACACCTGCGAAAAATGGGAACAGGAACGCTTAAAAACATGAACCCTCCAAATCGCTCCTTGCCTGGGAGGCCCATGCAAATTAAAGAGGCCTTTGCTTACACATGTATGGCAATTTTCATGGCGCACCTCTAGAGGTCCTAGTGCCTGGTGGGTTGGGCGAGATAGAGGGCGAGATGTGGGCGAGGTATTAGGCGAGATGAGCACGTTTGCCCAGAAGACCCATGCCCACTAACATCCAAACACAAGAGTCCTTGCGACGCAACGCAACTATAGCAACCAATCATATACTAAGACACCACGCCACGACTAAGTCACGGCAACGTCCTTGCGATACTTATTTGCGTATGCGACACCGCGTTTCACCAAACAAGCCTGCCACCAAGCTTAAAATCATGTTTCCAATACCCAATCTACAATGGAAGAAACTATAATCATAGGGCCTACAAAATAATGACAGGCAGCAAATAAGTAGGAGCAGCGGCAACGACAAGTAACAGCACCAACAACAACCAAGCAGCAAGCAGCAGCACCGGCGCAATCAGCCACCAACAACAGCAATAACCAACCAACAACAAAGCAACAACAGCAGAAAACCAACAATAGCAACGAACCAATAACAACCAACCAACAACAACAAACCCGACATATATTAATTACCATAAATTACCAAACAACAAACGCCGTTATCCCAACATTGCATTAGTAAAAAAACTTAAAGCTAATTATAAAAAAGAATAAATATACAATATAAAATAACCAAATAATAATCGTTTATATTCCTTAAACATCAAATTACTTAGGACATCGTTTCGCAACGATTATTTTTTAAAAAAAATTAATCACAATATAATGAAGCCAAGAACATAAAATCGTAATAATATACTCGGGAGTACAATAAATCTAAAATAAAATCAACAATATACCCGTACGGTTTAATCGAATTCTCAACCTATAATCAATAACACCATACATACAAAAATTTAGCCCAATCAAGCTTTCCCCCAAAAATACATCTCATCTAACACAAGTTCATACCATTAACCCAACCACCCAATATTTTAAACAAATATCAATTACATAAGCTCCCGAAAACGACGTACCAAATATTTTCGTTAATTATATCTTCCCGTTCTAATAATTAACTTAAGGCCAAAAAAGAGGCGAAAACTAACGTTCCAAAATGGGAAAATAAAAAATAACGAAGTAAAAAAAAACCACGGCGTTCTTTTTAGAGGCAAAAATAAAGAATCCTTTATATATAATTCTTTACCCGAATCCTCCTACGAAAGAGAAAAAAAACGGAAAAACGAAAGACGAAAAAGAGAAAAAAAAAAAAAAAAAAAAAAAAGAAAGAAAAATAAAAAAAATCAAAAAAAAATAAAAGAAGTAAAAAAGAAATAAAAAACATAACAAAGACAAAAAACAATAAGAAAGTAAAAATAAAAATAAACGAGTGCGGCCGCAAAATACGCAACGCTAATCACATACCAAAAAGCGACGACAAAACGGAATCGAACTTATAAAAAAAAAAAAGGAAAGAAAAAAGAAAAAAAAAAAAACAAAAAAAAAAAAAAATAAAAAAAAAAAAAAAGAAATAAAAAAAAATCTTCGATTTAAAAAATCAAGAATTAAAATTTACATCCGATCGAAAACATCTTACTATCGCAAAAGTAATTCCAACTAGCTTCACTAATTTTCGTAATAAAATAACATAAAAAAATATCATTTATCCGTCCGTAAATCCTCCATTACGATTATTATATACCTATATATATACCTCAATCGAAAATCTATTTTCTATATTACGTTTCCATTACAAATCCTTCCACAAAAATCGATATAACTCTTCGTTTCAACATTATCCTTTCATTACAAATCCTTCCCACAAAAAAAGCTCGACGACACCAAAACGAAATCCTTACAATAATCAAATATTTTCCAATGAAGAAATATATTAATATAACTATTAAATTACTAAAACTATAATTTTTAAAAATATTATATCTGACTTATTCATCTAATTCACAATAATTTACATAGGCCGGAATTTGGAAACATACATTAATATCTATATTATATATCATTCATATTCATAAACTAGAAATGATTTAATCATTCTTCAAATAAACAAAGAATCAATAAATTAATATAAAATCTAAACGTCCATACTATCATATTTACATATTATAATATAATATGTTCAAACAAACATATAACGTGGAAACAATTGTTGACATTGAAGGTTTAGATATCGTACCCACGTCAATGATCCGAACCCATGAAATGTGGCTCCAGGCAAGGTCGTGCTTGTAAATGATCATCCACCAGGTTCTGGACAAGCAAGGGCAGCAAAGTAATTATGCATGTTTAACAGCTTGGCCCACTCGTCATCTACAAAGCCTTTAAGCAATGAAATACGGCGCCCAAGTAGCAGGTCCATACAACAAAACTAAAACCACAGGTCTTACTAGACTAAGCCAACTAACCAGATCCGATCTGTCGACTGTGCGTGACAGTGCATCAGCATATTAGGTTTGCTAAGGTCGAACCCTGCACGGGAAAAATTGCAATAGTTGAGACCGTGCCCATTTATACGCTTTAATTCAGTTTTGGGTCGCGTAAGTCTACCCAAGATTCGGGAATTTCAGCTTTAAAGTCTGGTCCCGCCGTTCAGCGCCTCACTGCGGGAGTGGTTTGTTAGGAAGCGCTCCAAGAGTCTGCGCGCTACTTGAACCTTCTGGTCGTTGGGCCCATATAGCTCCTGCAGGGCTCTCTGCGAAGCGAGGCACTATATCAATGAAGTTTGAGGACAACTTGTATCACATGTGAGCACGCCACCTTCTGGTTAAGCGCAAACAGTAAACACTTGTATTATGTATGCTCTACACCGTGGTGTCAAAGGAATCCCCATGTCTGGACTCATCGCAAAAACTATATGTATATCATATACAGATCGGAAATCCGCCGACCCTCTGTCTTGCGCAAAGGCGTGTCTTGGGGAAAGTGCGCTAGCTAGTAAAGATCTTGGTTCTGTAAGTTCAATGTTCCTCGACGCGGAATCTTTGATTTCGGCGGACGAGCGGAAAGCGGAACTACTGGATGTTCCCCTTTTACGGAAACCTACATCTGGGGCTTCTGTTGGAACGTTTTCAAAATGAACTTTTAAAGCCACCTGTACGTATAGCGCAGGGTAGTCGGAGGAACTGAAGCATTAGTATCAGGAACTGGTCCTGGCCGGTATTTTTGCCTTAGCCTTTTTCTTCTTGTACCTCATGTGGTATGTATGAGGTCTGTGTTTGCCTTGCGCGCAGGACAAGCAATTGCAGCAAAACTGTGGCTAGGATGTTCTTAAGACCAAACTTGCGACATGTAAGAAGTTCTCCAGCTGCTGTATGTGCGAGCCCATTAGTCTAAGTTGCTCATCTGCTGAATGGGAACATTGCCTTACTTTTGTCGAAACAGAACTTCCCGTTGGGCAGCGCAAAGCATATTTTTCCGGGTTTTGCCCCTCACGCAGAAATGTTTTTAATGGGGCAGCGGACCTGGCCGAAGGCCATTAAAATGACGCGTCAGTAAATCGTTACGTTGACTGATGTTTGGGATGTGTCACAAAGCAATGTTCTTTCTACAACTGAGCCCTCCCATTGAAACATCCAGCTTCCAACATCTTCTTCAGGCTGGCCTCCAGGCCCTTCAAGTGTCTAACATAGAGATCTTCCGCCTGTACAAAGAGTTCAATATTTTGGAAAAGTCAAGAAAGTGCCGGGCTCACCTTGAACCACTGGTGTGAAAAGGACAAAAGAATAGAACACTTGCAAAAAACAACTCAACCACCGAACCTTTAGAAACTGTTTGCTTTCGAGTTTTACTTACCACTTTCTTTTTGATTGCTACAGTGCAAAAAAAACTTGTTGAAGTAGTTACTTCAATTCAGTGGACCTGTAGGCCTCAATGGGTAAACTGGTTCTTCGGACCAAGCTCTGCTTGCCGGCGCCGCCCTCAATGGGTCTTAGTTGGGATTCATAAAAGAACAGGGGAAGGCCCTTGGATGTATTTTCACTTCTTCACGCGGGTTTGATGTACAGCAAAAAGTCTTATATAGCATTTTCGCATGTGAGCGAGCGCCTTGACAAAGAGGACAGGAGTCAACAATATAAAACTATTGCTTTCGAGGAGGGAGGGCCTATCGTTTTTCAGGCCTCACCCAACCTTCAATTATCCCGGCAAGAGACCCCAAACAGTGTGTCTAAAGGCTAAAGGTGTGTGGCCCAGAGCTGTAGAAACAGAAGGTCTAGAGATCTAGGCGCGCTGCGCTCCAGAGAGCGGTGATGGTGGTGATGATGACGGTGGTGGCGATGGTGGAAATGATGGCGGTGGTGATGATTGCGGCGGTGATGGTGGTGGTGATGATGGTGGTGGTGGTGCTGGTGGTGATCCCCCGACATCTGCGCGTCAAGGCGCGCAAAGTGCTGCTCCTGCCACGAATTCCACATGGTAAGGCCGACCAAGTGCTGCGCCTGCCACAAAATCCGCAGGTTAAGGTCCACAAAGCGCTGCGCATGCCAGGAAATCTGCACTTCAAGACCTAAAAAATACTACGCTTGCCACAAAATCTGCACATCAAGATTCGCATCGCGCAGCCCTGCCAAGGCGGTTCGCAGTAAGAGTACTTCCGAAAACATCAAGACGCCATTTCTGAAAACGGGCCACATGTCCAAAAGTCACGATTCACTGCACCTGCCGCGAAACCAGAGCGCACCGAAGACCACCACCACCACCATGTCCCCCAAACGGACGCGAGCGCCTCCGATCAGACACCCGTCCTTAACCCTGACCTTGTAACACGAACCCCTAGTGTTACTACACTGTGTGGGGAACATAGCCAAACACCAACCATATCAAACAAAACTTGCTCTTACAGCACGGCGTCACATCACTGAGGGCAGGACAACGCACATCCACCAGGTCAAATTAAACAAAAACATTTAGCAGGACTCCAGAATCAAATCCACGACATTCCCTCAGGACCAAAATGAAAAGAGTATGTCTGCACTTGCGCTTGGGCGTGCGCACGCTGGCTGCCTTCTCACAAACCAACACCAAAACATAAGTGGGTGGGACCCCACTACAACAGTTTTGGGTGGAGAAGGATAACCATCACACCAGGCTCTGGGTGGCACTGGGAGAAACAGTGCAACAGAAACCTTCAAACATACTCTTGAGGGGGGGACAAGGACGGGTGAAGAAAGAATGGGCAATTTGATCTGACAATGGCTGGAGAGGAAGTAAGATAGACATTCAGATGGTTGCTTCAAACACGATGTTTCCTGAAAAGTTTTGTAGCAACAAACGCGCGTTATTGTCCGCAAAAATTGTTCTTACACATCCACCAGGTCAAAAATTTAGCAGAAGTGTCCAGGGTCAAATCCACGACATTCCCTCAGGGCCAGAAAATGAAAAGAGTATGTCTGCACTTGCGCTTAGCGCCGATCGAATAGGAACTTGACTCGGAGGATATGAGTGAGGGGAGACCCCTGTTCAAGTATATCAGTGGCCATACCTCGTCGAAAACAATCGAAAACCATGCCAACCACACAGCAAGCGCGAAACTTCCGTGTGGCTTCAGAGAAACTGAAAGGCCAGACCGGAGAGCCCAGAGTGGGGTTTCATCTGGAAAGCTCAACCTGCTTGGCCACTGCGCAGGCACAGCCTAAGACATCGAAGCCCTTCCTGCACGCGCAGTGTCTCACGAGCTTCGCTCCATGCGGTCGGTTCTTGCGAGTTCGCAGGTGCACAACCACTGAGCCACGTCTGATGGAAACACAGCGTCCGTCGGCCTGAAGTGGTAGGAGTTCGTTAGCAACCCTGAACAGAAAGCCCCTGGCAATGACAAATAATCGGGCCAAATCATCCCAGTCATGATCCATGGCTGCCTTGACAAGACAAAGGACATGTTGGCGCTGTAGCCGTGGGAGCTCTGATCGCTGCGCATCCTTACGGGCGCCCCGCGTCAGCTGCTGGCAGCTCGTTAGCGGCCGTTAGCGGAAATCGAACGTGGCCCAGGTGTTCCATGAGTGTGTCAGCATTCCGAAATTGGTGGGCGAACGCTGCCAACATAAGTCCCCCACGCCCGCTTTTCCAGCACCCCCTGATGGATGACATCATGGTGCGAATGGCAGCTTCCAGAGCCAGCCAGGAAAGCGCCATATATGCAAGTTGATGGGATCCGGTGCGTTGGCAGCTTGCATGGCGCAAGCAACCCGTAAACGCTTGGAAGGCGCAGCGTCCCAAGCAGCAGGGCCAACTACTGGCCCACCATGCAGGCCCGAACCGTGGCAGCAAAAATTCGCAACCAGTGGTGCAAAGAAGATGGTCGGGAGGCCAGATCCCGCTCCTGGAAGACAAGATGGGACCCTGCAGGCCAGCACCTCAAGCCAAGACCCTTTGCACCTTCATAGGCCCTCCAGCAACATAAAGGAAAGACAGATGGGGGAAGGAAGCGAGACCCACGCATGCCAAGACGGCTCCAAGACCCCCGTCCGCAGATGCATCAGCGTAAACAATGAGTGGGCGTTGTGGGAAGAAGCCGAGAGGGCAACCGCAACAGCAATTCGCTGTAGTTCGCCAAGCCACCATCAAGTCCATTGCGAAGGCAGCGAAGCTGAGACGGCCTGTGAGATTGCGCAGCCGCAAAAGGTCAAGGTAGACATCGCCCTCCAGAAGCTGCTTAATTTCTGTCATTGAGAGGTTTGCCTTGGCCGGTTCGGGACAGACTTGGATAGCGGAGTCATTCTGGATGAGACCGATCCGAATTCCAAGCAGCGCTATGCCGCTATGCCAGCTTGTGGAAAACCAGCGTGCAGATCCAAAGTGCGACTACCAAGGGCCCAAGAAGACCATTGGCTGAGGACGTGTTGGACAACCGGAACTGCAAACGAATTGCCCGCGACAAGCGTGTGGTCCAAGCAAAAGCCAACCTCCCGCCCAGACCTTTGCAGCCCCGTACCGTGGGACGCCGCTGCCATTCTGGAGCTTGGGTGGAGACCTTTGGGGAGTTCCCCGCCGGCAAGGCAGCCCCTGACAGGAGGTTTGCCAGGCTGTCTCTCCATAGCTACAGCCGTCATGGTTTGGTCTATCGCCAGGATTTGGTTCCTTCGCATTTTCGGGTCTTGGAGGCCAAGGTTGCTGCAGCCATTGACGCGGTCAAATCCCGACGGTCCCTCCAAAACAAGGGGTCCAAGGCTGTTCAACTCCGGGGCAGTCTGGCCGAATGGATTCATGTGCACGGGGGCCTCGAGGTTTTGCGACTCTTGTCAGGTGCAGAGCGCGATCGCGCATTAGGGTTCCGGAGCTTCTTCCTTGCCAGATGATGCAATAGCAACGCTCCCGCTCGGCGGCCAAAAAGCAAGGAAACCTTGAGGGATTGGGGCTCGGCTCGACTCCCATTGTGCGTGAGATAGCTTCACGCTGCTCATCTGACAACCAGACTCCGCTGCGTGAGTGGTGATGTTGAAGGAGCTTCCGGCACGGAACGTCCGTCTCAAAGAGCATGTGATAGACTGTGTCTCCCAACAAGGGTTCCGGTTCCAGCCTGAGGTGAAGAGGTAGGCTTGGAGAGCGGCCGAATATCGGACCGCCTCCTTTGCACCGACTTGCAGGTGGCGCGGTCGGGGCAAGTGAAGCCATTGGCCTGGTCATGTTTAAAGCAAACAGGGCCATGCGAGCCAGGTTGGGTCGGCCGGGCTGCTTTCGCATCAGCTGGAGCAGAAGTACGAAACTTTCTGACATCCTTGGTGGGAGGAGGCTCTGAAGGCTGAGGCCTCTGAGATTGATAGTGCTTGATATCAAGCTTGTGAGTCAAGCGGCGCAAAGGTCGCTGAAGCAAGTCAGAAAAGTGGAACTTCTGAGAGCTGCGCGTCAAAGACTGCAGTTCGTACCGCAAACCTCGTTCATAGCGGACTGCATCGGACAAGCCATGTTCGGCGCTCATGCGAATCAGAAGCAGGAGATGAGCAAAGACGTCCGGAAACTGGATGACGCCGACCACGGCGTGAGCGAGCAAAAGTTGGACACTAGGCTGAGGAACCTGGCCGTGTCCAACTGGTCAGTCCTCCTCCACTGCTTGACCAAAGCCTCACGCGCAGATGGGGATTCCCCGTGCCCAACCCACAGCGGCACCCAAGACTCCAAAGGAGTATCAGCGAGACTCACGGGCTTTCGAAACCAAAGCTTGCAACTTGGACAGCACCTGGCTGGTGGGGAACCAGTCAGTGGGAAGAAACTGGTGTGAAGTCCGCTTGAGGACAAAGGCCAGGTCGAACTTGTCCATGTCTTCATCATCAGAGTCATGGTCTCGCAGAATGGGATTCTTGGATGTTGGCCGTTGCCCCCGGGCAAATCGATCAAGGGTGTGCATTGACCCGCACTTGTTCCACAGCAAGGTCCGTGTGAGGCATTGAAGTACAGGTGCTGGTGCAGGAGCAGGAGGGTCTGGATGCCGATCTGGAGGAAGAGACCGTGAGGGAGATGTTTGACGACGCAGCGGCGCTCGTGAGTCGCGGCTGCAGGACCGACGGCGACGACGGCTGGTCCCGCCATGGAGGCGCCCAGCAAGGTCAGACATGAGTGAAGAAAGAGTGGACAATTTGATCTGACAATGGCTGGACAGGAAGGAAGATAGACATTTAGATGGTTGCATGTGAGATCATGTGAGCACGATGCTTCCTGAAAAGTTTTGTAGACTAAACAAGCGCACTTTGTTGTCAACCTAAACCCTAAACCCTAAACTTTCAGTTCTAAAGCAGTTCCACGGGCACCCCGGATCTTAATCGCTTTGGCATACCCCTATTTTTACAACTCACTCCACAGGTTCTATTTTGTAGGGGTGGTGCTGCTAATAGGTAAAAGGGATTACGGAATGTCACTTCACCTCGGCGCCAGGGGGAAGGGCCTGGCATGTCAGAAAGGGTGAGCCTCTTAGTGTTCTGACCAACCTGCCCAAACACGGGTGGGACACTCCACGATGATCCGACTATCGCCGGTCCCACCGTGCCTCGGCCAGGGAGCCTTTCGCCTCCAATAGCTTCGCGAGATTAAAAACGGTTGATAGGGTGTCCTGGCTTACTGGTCCAAACAGAGCTTCACGGCCTTCTAAAGCTCTCCTGTAAAGTTCTGCAGCTTCTATCAGCTTGTCCTGGTCGCCCTGGTCCTTTAGTACCGCCGCTAGGTTGTTCAGTGAGGTCAATGTGTCAGCGTGCATAGCTCCAAGTTGATCTTCACGTCTTTGTAAGGCTCTTCTGAACCAGAGCTCAGCTTCCGCCAGCTTTCCCTGATCCTGCAGCAAGCCTGCAAGATTGTTCACGGAAATGAGCGTGTCAGGATGCGTTGCCCCAAGCCGAGCTTCACATCCTTTTAAATCTCTCCAGAAAAGGGGCTCAGCCTCCTCTTGCTTGCCCTGCTTGTCCAGCAAGAGCGCAAGGTTGCTGACGGATTGCAATGTGTCAGGATGCATTGGCCCGAGAAGCGACTCACGACCTTCCAAAGCCCTTTTGTAGAGCACTTCAGCTTCTCCTAGCTTTTCCGGGGTCCCCTGCTGCGACAAGACCAACCCAAGAATGTTCACCGAATCAAGGGTCTCTTCATGATCAGATCCTAGCTGAGTTTCGCGACCAGCCAAAGCTCTTCTGGACAACCTCTCGGCCTCCGCCAGGTTCCCTGCATCCAACAACATCTCTGCGAGATCCTTCACCTCTCTGAGGGTCTCCAGGTCTTCGTTGCCGCACTGCGCTTCGTAGGCCTCTAGGACCCGCCTTTGCAGCGGTTCCGCTTCAGTGAAGTCACTACGCGCAGCCAGCACCGTCGCTAGCCTTGGTGCCATGGTCCAATTTTTTGGTGATTCTGGATTCCGAGGGAATTCTGACATCAATTGACAATAATATAAATATATTGAAAATTGTTGTGTGACATGACCTGCTATAGCTATAGTCTATAGTAATATCTATACAATGTAAATCAATGTAATATAGCTGTGAAAAAAAAACAAGAAAAAACATGGAAAAAACCAAGGGCCCAGCCGGCTTAACGCCTTGAGGGCTTCAGAATGCTCCGAGCCCAGGCTCTTGGTGATAGCTTCAGCACGGCAGCGGAGCCTTGGCCATAAGAAATAAGAAATAGAGACCAGGATTGCACATCTTTTGTCGTCGCAACGTTGCGACCTTCACATTCAAAGGCCCGAAGGCGAAACTCGTTGTACGTAAGTATAGTTCTCCAACCCAACCCGACACCGACAGTCTAGTACTATAAGATATCAGAATGCATGCCAATTATTTGTTTTGGACGCTTTTGCTTGACTATAGGCAAAAAATGTAACTTGCCGCACAACCCTGGCAAGGCAAATCAGTAAAATCCTGGAACTGACCTGGAGAGTCACAAGGCAAAATAACATCACCACCATCGACAGAATACGCAAGAATGCTTACTCATCATTCCACAACAGTGTGCTTGTGCGATGCTGTCGCTTCAGCTACTTGACTCGCCGTTTCCCGGTGGCGCGCAAAAGCACCTAAGCAGCCTAGGCAACAAACACCCAATTCTTACAGGATGTGCCACCTCTCTGCTGGACCATATAGCAACATAGGATCGGATAGAAACACCCCGCCAATAGTTGTCAATTAACCGTATGCAATTTTGCTTACACTTTTAAGGAATTCCTTGAAGCATGGCGACCCCTGAGTGTGGAATGTAGCTGAATTGCTGGTTTCTCATTGCAAGCAAGCCTCGATTTTACCAGCACTGCACTGGCGTTTGCAACCGCCTCCTCCCTTTCCACTCGAATGACGATACATTGTCGATGTGGCATGCCATCTTCGTTGAGCAGCTTTCCAGCTAAGTTCCTTAAACGCGAACTTCGCTCCAAAAATCATTAATATTAATATCAGATGCAAACTAGGTGCCCGGCACACCAGGGGGCTTCCCCTGTGAAGAAACCAAATACTTGCAGGAAGCACACAATAATGATTTGCACTCTTCAAAAAGCAACCATTTCCAAACTAGCTATATAAAAGAAGTACACATTGCAGTTTGAATCCGCCCCGCCTGCTCGACCATTTCAGGCGTTTGTCTCTTGGACACATCATAGGCGATAGAGGCATTTACTAGAATAGGAATGCAAAAGGCAACCCGCGAGCTGTATTCCTACGTGAGCAAGAGCAAAGGGCACATGTATCGCGCAAGGTGTTTTACCTTTACTATTCTTAGTCTTCTGGTTAAATGTACAAAAACAATTCTGAGTCTTTTGGTTAAATTTAACGGGCAAAAAAACATAATGCAGGAAAACACAGGAGCCCTCCTCCATGGCTGCCTCACGACCATTCAGCTGGATATCCCTCTTGAGCATATTGCGGTAGTTGTTGTCGATAAGTGCTTCAATTTCTGGCCACTCATCTGGGGGATTCTGTACGGAGTACACTCCTGGCCAGCGCAACTCTCTTGCGCAAAAGAATTGAGACTGCATCCCTGTGTCAATTTCAGCAATTTCAGGGGTGACGTTAGTGTCAGCCATTCTGCGTTAATAGAACTGAGTGCACCCCAATTCTCTCGATAAAATTGCAGAACATAGATCTATAGAATGGCATGCGCCTGAAACCAGGCCAAACGAAGCCTGGAAAATAGCTGATGGTCAAAATTCGAGAAGCTAAGCTTCCTGAGAGATGCTTGAATTACCATTGAACCTCAGAACTCACTTTATAGGACATTTTCAGCCAGTCTGAACATCCTTGGAAAGAGAAAGGGCTGGTGCCTGTAGAATGAACCAACGTCTTGGTAAAATGCTCACCGCAAGGTCTCTTGCTGCAATTTGGAAGGCCCTGACATCACCAAAAATGCTGCTTTTCTATAGTATAACACTTTAGTGGAATCCACACCAGGATGAGAGTGAGCCTTCCAAAGTTGTTTGTCAGGCCTTAATCTTTGCACGACGACGAGACACCCTGTTGACTTTCTGGCGCATGCATTCAGAGGCCCTTGCAAGGGTTCTTACTCGTTTGCGGACTTTCAAAATGCAAGTGTCCATCTGAGGGTATCGGGCATAAAATGTGTTGGTCTCAAACATTTGTTCATCATATCAGCACTAATTGGCTGGCCCTGTAGCTGTTTTGCGTGTGGGTTGGTTAAGGTTCACCTGAACCTGGAAGTCGCCATGAAGCGTGGGCCAGTGAAGATACCACGGGGAATGCAGGATTACCTATTGGGCTCCATCCTGAACCAACGGATCCAGAATGAACCGTGGAAGGACTTTATGAGCTATTGAGCATTCTTCGATTTCTGCAATTGAGGATTTATAGTGCCTGTATTTTACAGGAGTGGAATTTGGGCCATGACCTTATCAAGAGTTGCATGGTTTTACAATAACAAAGCAAAGCGGATTTGTGAAGTTTGAAGGGAGCAATCACTTTGCTAGGATTTGCGGGGGGGCAACGCGGGAAACGGAGATGCACTGACTGCTTCAAGCGCACAAACAAGGAACTAGGACCGTGTTTCCATTATGTAATTTTTGAAATATCTTCTCCACACACGATGTCAGAAAAATGTCCATTGCAAAGCACACCTCACGTCACTGACCTCAAGAGACTCACCAACCTTCTACCACAATCTCAGTGCACAGTGCACGTGGGTGGGGTGTGAGATGTTGTCTGTACAACCCGCATCATCAAATCAACCCAACAATATCCTGCAAAATTACCACTTTTGGGATCCCCGTTGATACCGGAATTTGAGGTCAGCGCACCCCATTAATATCCACATTTGTGACGTAAAGTTACTTTGACAAATCAAGGTTTTTCAAGTCATGTTGTGTGATAAATGTTTACACAACTCCATTATCGTCAAAGTAATCTAGTGCCCTGGACGGAAACCGAGTCATGAAACATTCATGAAATACATAACAAAGCCAAGCAACATAAAATGACTAGATCAACCTCTTTTGACGACATTACATCATTTGCGTTTGAGGCTGTGGCGATCCACTTGCCATCAAGGAAAAATTGCCAGCATCAGTGCCCATTTGGCTGCAAAGTGTTTTTACCATCAGATTGCTTAATTAACCTGATAAAAAGTTTTATACATGCCTCCTAAAACAATTATGTCGCGCTCATCAGGGTTTTACCCTCGCGTGAAGGTGTTTAAAAAAATGTTCCTTTTTATATACACCATCTCGTCTCTTTCAATATTCTTCCTTCACAGCACTCATCCATCGTGTTGCTTTTCAGTTATTTTACAGTACTTCAAGCAAATTATGAAAGAAAGAAAGAAACCACCAAAATAAAGGTAGTGCGGTGTCAAACCATCAAATGGGAAAACTTGCAACATTATGGTACTTACAACAAATTGCCCGAAGAGAACTGAGAATAGGAACTAATCAAGTACCCTATGGGAGAGGTGAACGTGACCACACAGTAAGGACTAACCTTTTTCAGTTTTCTCTACCATTCTAGATTAGATTGATGAGAACTGACGTTTTTAAACCTTTTTGAAGCCTAATGACTTGAAAGACCTTTGGTTTGTGAAAATCATTTTAGATCACCTAGTTTGGATTATTTTGGTATAAAGTGGGGTGTGCTGACCTCACTTTCTGGTAGCAACAGAGATGGAAATGCCGTACACTCGCTCTCTCGTTTCTCTCATAGGTAGGGCGTGACATTCAAACAAATGAACATTGCAAATGAGGCTTCTCATGTTTGCTTCGCTATCGTTTTTCATCGCGTTTTGGGTTATATACATGTTCTAATACTATCTCTTCAGGTGTTTTTTTCTTTCATTATACTGGAGCCAAATCATTTATGCGAGCGCTTCTTCGTCAAGGAAGCTCCCCCGAGGAGAGCTTCCTTGAAGAAGCGTGAGCTACCCTGCGTCATACCTAGAAGCTAACCCGCCTACAGTACTTATTTATTAAATAAGAGCGGGCTGAAAACAAACAATTGCTTCGTGGGCCCCCCTGATGCTGCCCAAAATCAAGAATCAAGCGAAATCAATGCTTTTGAATAAGACTTTTAGTAATGAATTTTGCAGCCTTCAAAACACAAACAATTAGTAAATTAAAATTGAAAGAACGTGGTCGACCACGCTCATTTTGAGAAGTCGGTAGCAGCGGGGATGGTATGGCAGATTTCCACAGGCTCAGGTGCAAGATGCTTATCCGTTGAGAATCTTTGATACATTCATTCTATTTGCACACGTCTTTGCCTGACTATATTTGAGGGTAGTTTACTCACCTGGCCTGTATTGCAGGTGTGTTGTGTCTGGAGATAACAAGCGCATGGTTTTGAATCCTCGTGACTGAGAAACGCCCGAAGAATGTGTGCGGTTTGTGCACTGGTGTTGGCTAGAGCAGTGCAATTTCCATTGCCATCAAATTTGTAGTTGTCACAAATTGCACATTCAAGGCAGTCATGCGCGGCATTTACTGCACATGGGTGGAAGTACAGTAATAAAAATATGTAATTGGGAGGGTGGATTCAGTATGATTCAGTGATGTTTGCCGTTGGCAATCCCTTTCTCTATAGTGAATCAGGGGATTTCATTTCATGGAACTCATAAGTTCAGGGTTGAGTAGGGACCTTGAAAATCAAGAGGGCAGCTCCAAGAGACTGTACGTACCAACGGGACAGGAATTTGCAGCTTTTGGGATCTTTTGGGTGTGTTTCAGGCAGTGAAGACATCGGCTCAGGATAACCATGCCCGAGTTTTGTAAGGTAAAGGCCTGGTTTTGGACAAACTGCTCACAAAACTTGGACAATCATGATGAGGATATACGAGGATGATGATGGGAACCATGGTGGTGAAGCCGGTCAGGATGCGATGTGCTAGGCGGATATGCTTTCAAGGTTGCTGGAGGAGAAGTGTGTGGTGGAACCCTCTCAGAAGCAGCAACGTGTGGAACCTGGTCCCAGCTCCAGTAATGCTGCATTCCCAACGTCTTCGAACAATGGACCATCAAATGGCTGAACCCTTGGATCTTGCGGCCGAACTACCTCCTGGCTGCCGACTTGGGTTTAGCAAGGCCAACTACACCGCAATCATGACGACTGTACTATACGACACTGGGGTGGATGGCGCATACTGCTACGGGGTAGGAGAACCTGCAATAAGTCGTTTGACAAATGGATGCCTGATCTAGCGTTAGATCCTATTAAATAATTATTATCTACACTCTACACCATCGATGGAAGCAGCCAGTCCTGCCTTGCCCCCACCAGGCGTTGGCCTTCTCACCCTGCGTTATCAAGGAAGCCTCTGGATATGCGAACGCCGGAAGTTGACGAAGCGGGACGGATTGAATGCATGACCTTGACTTGTACTGTACCTGAAAATTCATTCGATGCTGAGGGCAAAGCGAAGACTTCCACCGCTGCCTTTCTGGGATCTGTGATGTTTCTAAAGCCAAGCTCAGCAGTGTAGTGGAACAAACACTGCACATCGCTGGCACCACTGGCTAGAGTGAGGTCAAGGGCATCCTGCCAAACCTGAGAGGAACTGCCGCAGTTTCCGAGCTCGGCAAGTGCGAAGGTGTGTCAAAGAGAAACAAATCCTATGTAAAAAGTGATTTCCAACGGCACCTTCACGCCCAGTCTGGTGTGGACCCAGCACCAGGCTTTCGCGTCATGCTCGTAGTCTTCATTGTTGAAAACACCGCCTTGCTTGTAGCCATTCTCAAAGTATTCCCTGAGAGAGGCCTGGTGCGGTCAGTGAGACACCTTCACAAAACAGTTGCAAGAAAACTGCCTGGATTTCTGTACACTCTTGAACACCTACAGAATTTGAGAGTCACACACCCAGGAGCACAGCGGCCGCAAGCGGGCTATCAACGGTGTTTGCAAAGGCCCAATGACAAGGACGTCAAGTTTAGATTGGAATTGGAATGATGTGCAAATCGAGTAAAAAACACCAATGAAACAGCTTGTCGTCCAACTCCAGGCATCTTCTGGTATCTATGTCGTGAAACTGGCAGAAAAGGTGGAGGTTCACTTGGCAAAAAGCCTAAACTCCAAGGACTAATAAAGATCTTGCGCCTGCACATCACCCTTGACACAATTATCATGGCGCCGGCAAACAATGTCTGACCGGCACCCACCTGGCTATGTTCCAAAACTTCTTCCTCCTTCGCTTCTCCCAGGATGGTTTCATCTTGCGCCTCGTAGAATCAAGCCGGCGTGTCAGTGGGAGAAGTGTTACACACGTGGATTTACAAGAAATAGGTGGGTTCATTCTCTGGCTACAGTTGATAGGACATCTTCTCTAAATCTGTCCTGGCTGTACCAAGACCCATCAACAACGAAATGCACACTGAGTAAGTGCACGGCTAGTTGCACCTGTTGGAATGACTGACATGCTTAAAATGCATTGTAGAATGCAACCATGAGTACAAGTTGGTAGTCGCATCTGTCGTAAGAACTCGTTGTCACACAACTTCTGCCCTGAGCTGAGCAAACCAAACTTGCCCATGCCGCTGCCTGTTCAACCAACCCTTAAATTAGATTGTATTCCCGTAGTACGACCATCGAGAGCAGTATGTGAACCAGACTCTCGAAGCAAGCTTAAACGCAACAACTGACAAGTTCAAGCGCCTGAGCCAAAGCACTAGACCCGGCATCTTCTCGTGTCTTTCCTCTCATGGTGTCCTCCTCCTTGCCCGGAAAGGAGCGAACGAGTATATTGTTTTGTTTTTTTTCCCATGGTTGGATACCTGAGCCTAAGCCTTTTGACACAAGTACGAGTACTGTTTATGGGAAAGGGATGAACACTTTTGTTTTGGGGAACCCAAGTCCTTGAACGCCTTGAAAGACCTTGAGTGGAACACTTGCTTCCTAACAACGGTCTCACCTTGGAATTCGCCCAACTCCCCACCGATTGCCAGGTTACACCGGGCCTCGGGACCCAAAAGGAAGGCAACGATCTGCCGATAGTCATAGCCTTCACCTCGGAGGCGCAGCCAAGTTAGAAGCTTTCGAAGAGGCTGTTTTGTGCCAAGGCTTAGTGGGGGGTTGAACAGAACCTATGAAGTCAGACCTTATCCCTCTTCATTTTGCCCTTTAGGGAATGCAACATCACAGAAAATGATGGGTATATAGGTGTAATTGGTTTCAATTGTGCCCTGATGGCGGAGGGATGTCCCAGATTTGCTACCAAAGTGGCTCAAGGCATAGATTCGATAGGCAAACAGCAAACCGATGTGTTTCAAGTGTCCTGCTTTGGGTTGTCGTTTGGGGCCCACGTATTTGCCCAAACCGAACCTATGCAGTGTCGAGCAAGCACAGCCTAGCCAACACTCCATGCTGCTTTGGGTTGAGATTCCAATCCAATCTGTCACTGTTGATAGCAAAAAGACTCAAAACCGGTTGGTTCCTGTGCCCTTTTCAATTTTCCTAGGCCAAGCAGCTAGTTTGTGGCACATTCTTCAGCATGTCCTAGGCAAGACTGGCAACTTTGTTCAACAAAAATGCGCTTGCAATGGAATACCACATCATTACGTTTCTGACCAAAGTGATGGATACTGTAGTCTCCTCCAGCATCTCCTCGGAAAAGTGATTGCCTGTGCCGCCATCTGCACTCTTCCCCCAGAAACAAACAATTGATGATCATTTAACATAACACATATGATTTTCACAAAACAATCACAAGTTCACAACACCCACCTTGCAAGGTTACAATGTGGCTTCATCCCAATTCTTCTGAACTCGTCGCACTGGCTTCGTCGCAAAACCCGAGGTCTAGCAATGCCTAAATCGACCTGAAGTCCTCGCCTCCATGCTCCATGATCTCTGCAAGGGTCGCACGCGGCACAAAGCCTTGCTTGTGCAAGCGATGGTGCATTTGAAGGCTTGTCTAATAGACACACCAAAAACGGCTCACATGAAACCGTGAGCCGTGAACCTGAACACATCTCAACAACCTCTTGTTCTACAAGAAACATAATTGTATAATTGTATATAGTTTACAACTACAAACACAATTTCCTATAGGTCCATCTTTTCTGATTTCAACGGCTCCGTTTTGGCAATGGGTCTTAGCAGGGCGCAATTGGATCCCATGCATCAGAAGTTTACAAACATAAAAGCAAACATCACAGGCCTACTCTGCAAGCATGTTGCATTTCCCTCATGGACGTCTACAGTTTGCCTATGATCAACTAAGTTCAACAGCGTTTTTGCACGCAACCACAAAACCATGCCAGGTGTCCGATGTTGCGTGGGTCGAAAACTTGGAAGCAACGAAGAAGTTCCTGCACCTGGCAACTCTATGGAACCGATGTGCAACCAAGTTGGCGAACTCTCCATGATGGGATGGGTCGGTCACTCAAAAACAATCCCCCTTGGTTGTCCCGGTGACGCTCAACCACTAGATGTCATAAAGAATCCCTGGGGGAATCTCATGTTATGACAAGTGTGTTTTCCTGTGCCTACAGAGTCATGGAACAAAATTATTTCTATTGTCCGAGTGTGTCAAGAACCGTCATGAATGGCATCAATCCAAACATTTTCCTAGGACATTTGGTGAACGCAACTTGGTTTCTGATGTTTCCGTATACTTTCCCGAGTTCAGGGGCAGTCAAGGGTGTTCTTTCTTTATGTGATAATTGTCATAGCATGACACGTCACTACACAAACAGAGATGATGCACCGAACCCGGCAGTGGCCCGACTCTGCTGCCGAGATGGTAGCGGAGGTGGCCAAAGTGCCAGCTCGGCATGTCCACTTGTTTCCCATGGCGCTCAGGAAGGATCATGAAGGTAGTGATGGTCATGGTGGACGGCCTCGAGCTTGGCAAGGGCAACATCTAGGACCAGGAGAAGGTGGAGATGATGGATGACTTCATCGTGCAGGACATGGGCTTCATGACGAACGACAACGGATGCTGGCACGAATTACGCCCGCTGCCCGCTATCAGGATTGGAGCCTCATGAGCACTCGAACTCGAGATGGCCGCAATATGAGGTGGATTGGAACTACCAGGATCTTGTAACTCAAGGACTTCATCTTCACAAATGGTACCACAATGGAAAATTAAGATGCAGTGGATTGGAACCACTTGGCCTGACAGGAAGGACTTGGAGTTGGCTGGAAGCTGACGTTCGGGATTGGTACTTGGACTTCCAGGGCTTCATCTGAATCTGGTCAGGGATTGGCACCCCGACTACTTCGATGTGAATGAGTTCTTCCAGATCGACAAGGACATGATTCTCGAGACACTCAAGGTGATGGTATGTGGAATGTTCCTGGTTGGCATGATGTTCATAGCTTTCAGATGAAGGAACCCAATTACACCCAGATCGACGTCGAAGATGAGAACTTCAAAGATGGGCCCCTTGAGCAAAGAGAATCAAAGATGGAATGGAAGCTTGAGGAAACGCTTCGAGAAGCAACTTCAGTTTAAGACTTTTGCTGTTTTGCCTCTTGTATCTGGAGAGGCTACGCAACTTCTAAGCAGGATTATGGATATCAGCCAGGCTGCAACTTTGGCGGCACACGCCTCTTCGAATGCTTTGGAGAAGATTGAAAGCAACAACAACAAGAAAGGAGGATTTGGCGATGCTTCCAAAGTGTTGCCGCAGCTACAAATATTTGATGTGGGCGACCCCCCAAGTTTTCAGCATGGTGCGAATTGGCTGATCTATGGCGACAACCAGTGCAATGACTTGATCAAGAGATGTAAGGAGATGGATGAGCTGTGTCTGATTGTTGACTGTTGACATGGTGCTTGAGGCCAAGGAATTGAGCAGAAGGCTGTACGCCATTCTGTCATCGAATATGAAAGGACCTCCAGCCCAGGTCATTCGAGCTCGCGCATCTGACAAGAACGGATTTGGTGCATGGCAACAGCTGAAGCACCTCTACATGCCCAAGGCGAGACCCCGCACAATGGCCATTGACAATCTACCATGTCCCACAGTGTTTGCGGCAGGGAAGAGCATGCTGGAGAATCTTTTGCAGTTGGACTTACTGATGGATCAGTATCGGCTTGCTTCAAGCCGTGGCACGCCTGATGATCGTGGTGGCAACAGTGGCATTCGACGGCATGTGGAGATGACCTTGCATGACTCCTGGACTGAAGCTGATCCTCATGGAGAAGCTGATCCTCATGGACCTCGAAAACCTGGTCAGGTGACACCTACCTTGAGATGGTTCAGAACTCGATGACCTCTAGCAACAGTGGACAGGCGCTCATGGATGTGGACAACATGGCGCAGGTTGGCAAGAGCAAGGCAAGAAGGGCAAAGGAAAGAAAGGTGTTTGGTCTCCTTTTGGAGGCTGTAGTGGCAAAACAGGAGGAGAGTCACAGAAAGGCAAGGGCAAGAAAGGTAAAGGCAAGCAAGGCAAGGAGGGTAAATGAAAGTATCATCAAGGACACGATAGGAAACGGCTAAGCTGGCAACAACGCCTGCTGCATTTGTGGCCGAGGCCATTGGGGTAAGGAATGCCCAAAGAGGAACCAGTCTGTGTCAAATGTGACCCAGCAGAACTCAAACACAATGACCACGGCTTCAAGTGAGATTGCAAGTTCAGCCGGTGGCAAACTTCGTGGTGGTGGTTCTTCAGTATAGCTTCAACCACGGCTACACGTGCGCAAGTTCGACAAGTCAGGATATTTCATGTGGCCACACCACGAGATGAAGTGACAACACCCATGATGTATGACATCAGAAGCGATGGTGGCGAGAGTTGGCTCTATGATTAAGCTTACCAAGTGAACGTGGTGGCCTTTGTCTTGGAGGAGGATCTGGACATGATGTCAGAGTTCGATCAGTTTGATTTTTTGGACATGATGTCAGTTTGATTTTTTTGCATGACAAAATGAACCAATGGTACTGGAATCTACACCCACGCTGCTACATCCTCAAGGGCAGCAAACAAAGAAGCCTGAAGTGTTCCAGGTGGGGATGGTTCAAGAGTCCAAAGAGATGAACCTGATTGTGCTGGACTCTAGTGCTGACATCAGTTTGCTTCGTCACTCAATGACTTAATGTCTGGCAAAACACGAACTGCAACTCTTTTGGCAGAGAAGTGTTGACTCAAGGCTCACGGCTTGCCACGTATGGATGAAAGCTGGCACAGGAGGAACGCGATGCAGGAAAGAGTGGCACTGTCATCATTGAAGATGATTTCGTGGTAGTTTCAGTGCAATCACCTTTTGTGAACTTGGGACGTTTGTTGCAAAGGGACTGAAACATAAGGAAACATGAAAAACAAAGGGTCTAAAGGTTGGAACAGCAAAATACTATTTAACACAACAACTAAATGACAAAACAAATGCAGTACCGTATTTGGGCTAAGTGCCGGGAACATGAACCTATGGGTTCAACTTTCTGTGAGGTTTTCTTTTGCCAATTCTGCCAAGTCTGTGTGGGTTGATGATCACCACCCAACATCACCTCACAGACCTCTCGTCCACCCAAACCTTCAGCGCCTGATCCCTTGAAGACCACTTTGCAATCTCCTCCTGTCTGACACTCCACACAAAGCTGGCAAGCACGCCAAAACTGGAAGTCGGGCATCGGTCAAAACAAGTTATGCAACTTGAAACAAACTCAGGAGAACAGCGTCCGTTAAAATATCAGGGTCGATATCTTCAGTCCTTGGAGCAAGCTTTCGCAAGCTTTAGACTTTGGAGAGGGGAAGTTTCGCAAGCAAGCTTTTGTCAGCTATGTTGAGCAAAAACTTTTGTAAGCCAATGCATCTGGCAGTGGATGAAGCATGTCTCCTTTGTCACACAGTATCGTTTTCTAAGGTTTTCCCATGAAACTATTTTTCAAGATTCTATAATATATATAATCCGTTTTTGGGGACTCTGAGGCTTCAATGGGAGCCCCTTTGCAGACTTGAGGTCCTTGCAAGGCCAGATGACCATGCGTGAACTCACCCCATCCCTTTCAATACTAAATGGATAGTGTGAGGTGGGTGCAATGGTCCACCTGCTTGTGTGGCAAGGCGCTTCCACTTCTACCAATGTGGCAGGCACATGCAGGTACAATGCGTTGCAGAAGGGTGGAAGCAATATTGCTGAGTCTGACTCTTTGGCAAGGTTGATGGCCCTCACCACAACTCACTTTTGAAAGGCATCCAAAGGCCTTGGATTGTCAAAGTGCCCTCCCTTCCACCTTCTGCCCTTTTGGGAATGGGAATGGGCATGGGCCTGCCTTCTCTTTTGCAAGTGCTGCGGTCGCGGCACCTTTTGCTGGGGCAATTCCATTCCTTTCCCAAGGTTTGCTGGCCCCTCTTGCAAGGAAGCACCTTCTCCTCGCTCCTTTCATGAGCCCAAGTCACCCACCAAGTCCTCATCGTTGCCCATCACTTGCAGAAGCAAGGACGGGTAAATGTAGGCTAAGCACCTCTGGACATCCTGCGCAGTCCTTGTTTCTTTGCCTTTTACGAGCCAAAACTATCAGTAGAAAGGGATGTCCAAAATCAAAAACACATTCAAAATCATTATATACTGTACTACTGTATTGACATCAACAGTCAACATGTTCATCATGTTCACGAAAATCGTGACATCAAATCACATCACGCAACGAAACTAAACCAATAGGCTGTTTTGGCTTTGATATTGATAATTCAAGGCAATCCAAAGTCACAATTTTTCAAGAGACCAATGATCGTAAGCGACATCGGACGCCCAGTGTGATTGAACTTCAGGATTGGCTTTGTAAAGGCATTGCATGTCGCCACCCGCAGCTAGTTGAAGTATTCTTCAAAGGCGCAGCCCAAGCACCCAAAAATATCAAACCATAACACACGTAACAGGTTGAAAGGAACCTGTTCACCCCAAAGTTTTCCGGTGTCTCCTTCATGACCTGCTTGAAGAGAAGCATCGTCAAGCTCTCTGGACGCCCCAGGTCCGCCAAGACCTTGGAGACCTGCCGGTCGTATGAGACAGCAAAACCAAACCTGTGAGACTCAAGGAGATGCAACGTGCTTGGGATTCTCAAGCTAGGCATGTCTCAAGCCTGAGAAGGGGAGAGCGTCGGCCCACAACTGTGGTGCAGGGAGTCAGGGAAACATCTTTTTGCATCGAGCATGTCCGCACCTGGCAATGGCTGTGGGCGGAAGAAATGGAGGCAGAAAGGACGCAGATGGGAGAGGAAAGAGGAGGAAGTGTGGGAAACGCTTGAGAGGGACTGTCAGAACATGAGGGCCCGAACTAGTGTAAGGTGCCTCTTGTTGCCAAACTTGTTGTTTGGAGCTAGGGTGTTTAAAGTTGGTGGGCTCAGCACGCCGTGACAGAGTGTCTTATGAGTTATGAGTTTGTTGCCAGCTGAAATGTAGGTGGCTTTTGCGTGTGTCTAAGACGTACATGGCACACTCTAAGGATCACAAGGTGTTACTGCGTCTATCTATTGTATTCCTCAAGGCTCAATGGATATAGGTTACAGCTCTAGCGGATAAAAAACACTGCCTGCCTGCGCCTTCACCGGGTGTACGTGGCAGTCATTCTTTCACCCCCACACCCATGATTACTCACCTCGTTCTCAGGAATAACTTCAGCCTAGCCTGTCGGCTGGCTTTCGTAAAGATCATCCATGGAGTTCAGGATTCACCATGATTCACCGACGTTTTGGTGCTCCAGCTGAGCGCCGCCTCTGAGTTGGTGGGGTTCATCCAGGCAATCCGCATGGCATCGGCCAAGTGCGAGGCGTTCATCACTGCCGCGTGAGGCTCCTGAAGATGCTGGACATGTTGCAAGTAAATTGAAAAAAAACAACACCATTAAACAAAAACAGAGTTGCAGCGTTTCGGTGCTCAAGCTGTGCTGAAAAGCGTAGAAATCATCTGCAACATCTGACGGCTGACAAGGCTTCTAGTATCAGGTCATGATTCAGGAAGTCTCCTGTTAATTAGGCCCACGTCTGTGGATGTCAGGGTGTCTAACTCGGCTCAGAATAGGCCCACCAAAATAGAACTGGGTCCCCGCTACTCTCGCTTACTCGCTCTCTCTTTTCATCTCTCTCTCTCTCTTTTTTCCTCTCTCTCTCTCTCTTCCTCCCTCTCCCTCCCACCTTGCAAAAAACCATTCCCAGAGAGCAGTATTTCTAAAGGCCTTGAATTAAAACATAACATTTGGGGTATCCATAGTATCCCAACACAAAGGGTAGACAACCGCAAGGAAACAAAATAAAAAGCATACAAGAAAATCAGTGAGAATTATTTCTAGAAAGGGACCAACCCGTGGGAACGTATTTAAAAGACTTTAGATGAACACACATCCATTTCGTGCATGTGTTCCAATCTGTCAACCCAACGTACAAAAGGGTGTGTAGACAACCCCAAGAAGACAAACCGAAGGTATAAAGCAAAAGGCTGAACTTGATTCTTCTTGGGGCCAGTCCAGTTGACAGTTCAAACATTCTGCTCGGGGATGCCAAAATAGAAAGGCTGAAATGAGTACGGACACCCAGGCGTGTTTTATTTTACCTTGATTTTCCTGCGTCCAACCTTGGGAGCTCAAAAATCACAATGAGACGCATGCATGTTCAAACACCGCTTTGAAAAACGCTCAAAACGAGAGGGCCACACCCCTACCATTTAATTTGGATCACCAATCGGAGACCCGCCACGTTTTTGCTTGTGCATTTTTGGAGCACCTGGTGTTTTTCCCCCTTCCTCGCACCCTTTTACATTACCTTAGATCACCCAAAACGATCCAGAAACCCAAAACCATGATTGCGTTTGATTGGCATTGATGAAAAACAGTCGACAGAACAGCTTCAAGTCCCAAAACATCCCAAAATCAAAAACACAGCTCGTGCCCTGGTCCTGAAACGACTGAAATATCTCCTCAAGCCGAGTCTCAACCTCAACTCCAAACACTGTTTGTCGCAGTAGAGACAAGACCCGCCACAAGATTCGCAGCAAAGGGTGAACAAGGAGACGAAACATGATCTCACCAGGTCAACCCAGGCTTAATGCGGAAGGTTGACAGCACCAGCACTCAGAAGCTCAACTTCTTTCAGTTGTGGTCGCTCCGACACACGACAGAAAAGCAACTGGTGGCCTCGGGAATAAGTGATGTCGAGAGGATCACATGCACCGCTTGTGTTGGCTTAGGGAAGGCATGCGCATAGAACCCCATGGAGAAACACTATCATTGCTGTCCCTCCTGGATCCCCAACGTCAATGCGCCAAGGCGCATCCAGCTCGCCCTTGCTCCACGGGCATATTATGGGTGCAGTCTTAGTATCGAGCTCGAGCTTTCTGGTTCGAGAAATCGTGTTGGTTTTCAGTGGGTTGTATCGGGGGAGCAGTGTGGCCACACGTGCCATGCTTGAAGTTCACTTCAAACTGCGCTGAAGGTTCAGGCCCGTGCAACAGTGTATGAATTTTGGTACTTGGATCGGCTGGGTCCTTACTAGTGGTTTAACATGTTTAGAAGGTTTGTTAGATATATGTTAAGAAGCAGATAGGAGAAGGGGGAAGAAAAGGAGCGCAAGCAAAAAGAGAAAGAAGAGGAGCGAGAGAGGGTGAGGAAAGAGAAAGAACCCTCAAAGACAAAGTAGCCCCAGCAAAGAAGGCATGTAATTAATCTTAGATGAGCTGACCTTGCATGCATTCCCGATTAACGCATGTTGCATGCTGCAGAGAACTGTGCAGCATCCAAACTTTATATTCCAAAAAGGAGCAAAAGACATAGATTGTTGCAGCAATCCATGCAAAGTTGCATTGCCAGGTCCTTGGCAGGGAAACTCTCTGAAATCAGCGAGAAGGTGAAGGAGTGAACTGTCGTTTTCCCAGCTAGACTAAACGATCGATGCACCAAATACCAAATTTAAAGTCTTTCAATGCATCCAAACCTTTTCACAACGGAGTTTCCTTTTGGTTGGCAAAATAATCAAGGCCAAAAGAGGTCGGGGAGCCCATCAGCAAGAACTTTGAGCGACACAACAAAAACCTTGGTCTTCCCGGGACAGTTTACAAAAGCTCACCGGTTTGGACAACTATGAGGACATCCGTCCTACAGCTCAAGGTAGTCTAACAATCAAAGTACTTTGAACGTGACGAAGTCAAGTGGTTTGCAAATCAATGTGTAGTATCAGCAGCATGTTAAAAACTCATGTGACTGCTTTCTAACACAGCCCTTCCCTTTCACTCACTCTTGAGCTGTCGTGCTTGCGGCCTGTAAAGACCAGGTTTCTTCGTCTCAACATGTGCTTTCACATGGAGGTATTAGTGACACATCTCTTGACTGAAACGTGTTACACTCCTCCTTTGGACACGACGCTTTGAAGTCGTTTCCAACAAAACACTCTCAGCTCTCTGTCAGGTGGGTGTTCACCAGCAGAGATTGCTCTCATGCATTGATTGCTCCTCAGCGCCTTTGCCTTAGTCCAGCAGCTTCTGCTTGGTTCATCTGCTGCTGCAAAGCTTCTCGTTCTGCCACTGCTCTCCTTTGTCTCACGTGGTCCATCCACTCTTTTGTTCCCAAGGCCCAGCCATAGCCTCTTGGGGATTCTGGAATCTCTTCTTCTGGCTCAGGCTCATAGTGAAGTCGCCTGATCAACCATTTTCCACCATCTCTCATCCAGTTGGGGTTCTCGATGAAGTACTCCTCGCCATCTTCAGGGGTGTCGATCGAGAGGTCGAGGAGTCGGTGCATCTGGATTTCACCTGTGTCTGGATTCACCCAGACCACAATGCCAGGCATGTTGTACTCCATGTAGCACTCTGGGTGTTCTCCCAGCTCTTGAAGTAAGCCTGCACGTCGTCGAAGTTCTCGAACTGCGTCCGTCACTTCGTCACCAAGTTCTCCTGCCACGCGTAGAACTTGTTCAGATCCACTGCCTTCAGGTTCTTCAGCAGGCTGGTCATCTGCTGTAGAAGGTTGTTCTTCTTCAGATTCTTCTCCACTCAAGCTTCCAAATCCTCCATGGCGTTCAAGACGTCCATCAATGTCCAGGAAGTACTCTTCTCCAGGAAATGCTTGAGCTCGATGTCGAAGAACTCTGTACGTTGCCATTTCTTGACCAATGGGGTCCCACGTCCATGGCGTCCTCTGTGTCCATGGCGTCCTCTGTGAACTCATCTTCAGTGGGTTCTCCACCAGAGGTGTAGGCTGTCTCGGTGAGGTTCTCGAGTTGTGGTAACTCTTCTTCTTCTTGTCCATCACCTTCTTCTTCTCCTTCAAGTAGTAGGTGGTTGACATCTCCACCTTCAGGTTCATTCCATAGTTCTCCATCACGTTCACTTCCGCGAGCTTCCGGATCATGTCCGGCTGGTTCTCCAAAGAGGTTGAACCTTGTCTGCTTGACCTTTCGTTGCTCTCCTTCTCGGTGAGGATCTTGAGGGGGTGAAGTTTCTTGTTGAAATTCTCCACCTTGAACAGGTCGTAGGTTGAAGTAGTCCCTGAGGTAGAACAGGATGAAGACCACCACATTGAATGCCACCATCATCATGCCTGTCTGCAAGATCTGGTAGCCCATCTCGGTCAGGAGAGACCATGCTCCAATCTAAGCCGAATGAAGCACCATCAGCGCTAAGTCGCAACCTTGCACACTCATCGCCAATCCCATGGCGACAAACAAAACTGCATTTGCCGTGAAAACCATCAGGAAAATTTCACGGTTGCTGTCACTACTGGTCGTCTCTTCGACTTCCATTCCGTTGCCCTGCTGACTCAAAGCCGCCAAAAGCAAACATGTCAGCTGTTGCACTCTTTCAGGTCTGCGTCCTTTGACATGTCGAATCTCTTCTTCTTGGGCTCCAACTCGTGGTCCACCAGCGAACTCCAAATAGCCAATGAGGCCTAGCAAGAATCTCAGTCTCTTGCTGCTGTGACTCTTTGTTCCCAAATCGCTGCTGTTCTCTTTTCCCGGCACAGGTCGAATTGCAGCTTCTCGTTCTTCAACTTTGTGCTGCGCCCACAAAAGTCCAGTGCTTATGTGTCGGGTTCTCTGAACTCCTTGTCGTTGGAGTAGCGCTCGAGCAGAGGAACTGTCAATCCTCAACTCCAAGACCACCTTCATGTTCAGCACGGCCTCCAACATTCGCTTGATGTAGATTCCATCTGCCATGCCACTGACTGCTGAAATGAACTCAGCTTCACAACTTGACAAAGCTATACTTTTCTGGCTCCTGCTTGCACTCCAAAAGAAGATGCCGTTGAGGTACATGTGACTGCATGACATAGATCTCCTTGTAGTCCTGTCCGATGCCCAGTCACTGTCCGTGAAAACTTCAAGTAGGCTCGGATGTTGTGTTGCAGCCATCTTCACATCATCATTACTTTCTCTCATAGCCGAAGCCATTGCAAAGCTCTGCTTCATCTCCTGGACGTAGTCAGCCGTGTGCTTCAAGTAGAGCACCAACTGCTTCAACTCCTTCTGGTCCAGGGTGTCAGGTCCTGTGACCTTCGAAGCCAACTGTCGAACTGCACATTGGATGTCTGGCCTTTCTGTTGACATGTACAGCAAAATGCCAACACATGTTCTGTAGAGGCTCGACTCTTCTTTGGAAAGAGGTTGTCCTTGTAGTCCTTTCTGGAAGGTGCCAGTTGTAGGCGTCTGCTTGCCCTTGTTGACGTGCAGGTTCAACAAGTCTACCAACTTCTTCACATACTTCTGGTCCATCCTCACAGTCATGGAACCAGATCCATCAGAAGCAAAATGCCTCTTGAGGAATGCGCATTGCCCTGCAACCTTAGGTGAACAGGGTCCTTGTACTTGCAGTGTCCATTCCTGCTTTCTGAAGCTATCAAGGAGCTTCTCAACATCTTGTTGACTTCCAACCAGCTGTAGGTCATCAACGTGTGAAGACATCACCAGGGGTGTCCTGCCAACCTTGTAGAAAACCGCGGGGTTTGCAGGATATGGTTGTAACCCTTGGTCTCTTGCCACTTTGCCCAAGTGGTCATACCATGCCTTGGAACCAACTCGTTGTCCAGGAAGACATCGTCCAAGTTCGAAGAACTCGCCATTGCATTCCACATAGACCTTCTCCTCCTGGGGAACCATGAGGTAGGCGTCCTTGACATCGACTGCCCATAATCCAAGTTCTCCTTGGCGCGACTGAACCAAGGCTGCCCACAATTTCACTCCAATTGCATTGCTTGTGGGACTGAACAGATTCTCCATCTCAGGCGAAAGAAACTTGTAGTCTCTGCCAACCAGTCTTGACCGTCTCATCCAGCCAAACTTGCCAGTCTCTTCTTTCAGGCGCCATCTCCAATCGTAGACCTTCTTGGTCGTCAGGAACCTATAGCCCTCAAAGTTGCCACTCTTGGGAATGAGGACTCCCATCTCCTTGAGCCTTGTGATCTCTCTCTCATCTGCCTCCAGCTCCAACTCCGCCAACATCTCTTCAGAGACATCTGGAGGTCCAGCTTCTTCAGATTCCTGCTCGAGGTCAATCTCATTGAACTCGCCCCAGTCATTGAGGTCCACCAAAGGGTATTCGTCCACTTCGACGAACTCCTGCTCGTCCAAAGCCACTTCTTGGATGCCACCTGCAAATGAAGGTGCTGCTGCTAAGCTGCTTGCCATTGGTGAAGACGATGGGGATGTTCTTGGAGGAACTGCAAATTCCACCTTTGCTTTCTTGACCGGCTCTGTTCGTGCACTCTTCGTGGGAGGTTCTTCTTCATGAAGTTCACCATGAGGTCGAAGTTCTCCTTGAGGATGTCGAAGTCCACCAAGTTGTTGAGGAACTTGAGGATGTAGTCCGCCTTGAGGTTCATCACGAACTCCTCCTGCATGTTGCGGGTCTTGCTCTGCATTCTTCATGACCAAATCATCCGGAGGTTCCGTCGGAGTGTACGGGAGGTTCTCCGGCGTGTAGGGAACTGGTTGTTCTTCTCCACCACCCGGCTTCTTGAGCTCAGTCTCCTTCTTCTGCTTGTCCTTCAAGTCCTTGTCATCAAGGTACTCCTCGTCGCTTCCTTCCAGCTCACCAAAAGGTTTTGCCAAGGCTTCTTCTGCTCGTCGTCGTGCATACTCCTCAACTGCTTTGGCCTCATCATCTTGTAGTCCAGGAAAGGTCTGGCTTTCCAGGTTTCTCTTCTTGTCGACCTTGGTCGTGGGACCAAACTTTCGTGAGCTTGCATCATCCCATGGCAATCCATGACAAGCCATGAGGAACTCTGGTTGCCACTCGTCGGCACATCTTCGGACTGCTCTCGTCACAAACAATCCATTTGGCGACAACAGGAAGTTGAGATCTGAATCCATCAACTTACCCACATAGATTCCCTTCCGCCAGGTTGGAACTCCTCGTCGGGTGTTCTTCAGGACTGGAAGTGGTTGTCCATAAACACACGCTCCAAAAGGTGCCAGCTTCCCCGAGTAAGTGCGGGAAGTCACAACTTCAAATGGTGTATTGCCACCAGGTGTAACATGGAACCTGTTGTACAACCATGATGCATGGGCATAGCACCACACAAACAACGGGTGTGAAGCGGGAATCTCAATTCCACATCCAACACGGATGCTTTCCAGCAAAGTGTTGCCTAACCTTCTCACTGTCTGAATTGCTCGTTCTGCAGGGTTGGATGCTGATCTGCCTTGAGGTGAAAACTCTTGTGTTGTCTGAAGTTTCAACAATCTTCTTGCATCAGCCACTGCTTTCATCACCTGCTTCAACGAAGGTTCTTGGTCGCCCTTGATGATCACTTTGTCATAGTCCCTGACAAAGCCACAAATTGCATTGGCACATAGCTTCACGCTTGCACCACCCTTGGCCTTGATTGGCACAGCCAAAATGGCTTTTGACCAATTGTCCACAGCCACCAAGTGCTTGACTTCAGGACTTTCTTTGCGAATCGTGGTGTTCGTTGTCACGTGTCCAAAGCCACTGTAGGACAAACTTGTTCTCGTCGTTCATGACGTTCATTGTCTTTTGACCTTGTTGCTTGGCAGTGTTCACACCAATCTGCAAAAGGAAGGTGTGTCAGCAAATGTTTTTGCTTCTCCTCATCTGTTGGGGCTAGAGGTACTTCTGCTTGTTGAGGTCGTCTTTCCATTGCCCTCTTCTCATTGCGAGCTGCATCAAGTGCTGCTTTTGCTGCTGTTTCTCTCACTGCCACCTGTAGCCTTCTGAAGACCACAGCCTTGCTCCCACTCAAAGGGATTCCAAGGAACTCGCACGCATCTTTCATCACTTTTCTTGAGCTTGTAGTTGTCAACTTCAAGCCATTCACCATCACGAAGTCATCTCCAACTTCGTCGTAGACCAGTTGCTCTGGTTCATGCGGTCCTCCTTGAGGTTCTTCAGCCTGCATCTCTTCAGGAACAGGTTCTGCTTCTCCAGGTAGAAGTCGTGGTTCAGGGGGACCTCCAACTTGTGCATGAAGATCATCTTGTAGAAGTTCAGGAGGGATCTGCTGTCCATAGAGCTCCTGAATTTCATGAGGGAACAATGCCTTCTCATGCACCAAAGTCAGGGTTGTGCATGGTGAGATGCCATCCAGCTCTGACATCTTTCTGTCTATCCAGAACTGCGCGCTCTCCACACAGTCATACTCGCCACTTTCCAACTTCACCAGTGTTGTTCTGCAAGGAAACTGGTGAGGATCATACTTTCTTGAAATGTCTTGGAAAGTGAATGCGTTCTTGACCACCAAAACAGGTGTGCCATCACTCAACTCGTGCCAGCCAGGTTCTTCAGCCATGGCCTTGAGCTCGTCAGACACGTCCATGACATAGCTGACCTTCTCTTCCTCCAAGCCAAAGCTCAGAGTCAGGGTGTTGCGCTGCCACTCCAAAGGGAGGTAGTAGTCACCCTTCTGCAAGTAGAACTTGTCCTTGACATTCTGGATCATCCAGCCTTTCTTCATCCACTTGCCCATTGCCACCAACGGTTGCTTCACGTTGGCCACCACAAAGTTCTCCTTCAGCTTGACAGGTCGTCCATCAGCTGCTACGCAATGCAAAGTCATTGCAACTTTCCCTTCAACAGGGATCATTCTGCCTTGAGCATCTCGAAGCAATGCTCCACCTTGGGCCCTCTTGCCCAAGCTACCCATGTTCATGGGCACCACACTCACATCTGCACCCAAGTCGAGTACAGCGTTGTAGTTCAGGTCCAACTTGCAGATGGCCTGGATCTCAAAGGTCTCAACCTTAGAGTTCTCGAGGGTGATGAAGTCCACGTTCTCGAAGAGGTCGTTGTAGTCCATCATGTAGTTGTTGAGGTCGATCTCCTGGGTGAAGTCATCCTCCACGGTCCAGTAGTCGTCCATGTCGGTCTTGGTGAGGTCAAAGTGCTCAACCATGTCCTCCTCGGTCACCACCATCTGAAAGCCTTCAGTGAAGCTCTCCTCAATGTCAATCTCACCTTCTTCTGCAAGATCAAAAATCTCGCAGGTCTCAACCATGGGAGGTGTCTTGATCTCCCACACCCTTCTCACCGTGCCAGCGCTTCGGTACGAGGTGCTGCTCGGTGCTGTACTTGCTGAAGACGATGAAGTCCTCGTGGAAGGTCCAGAAGGTTGCCCTCCATTTCCTCCATGATCTCCCTGATCATGCCCTTCAACTTGTTGAACTTGTTGGCCACGTTGCCAACACTCCGCAGCTCTGTGGCCAGGTTTGCCACACACAAAGCAAGGTCCTTTAGACTTGCCCTTTCCTTTCTCTTGACTCTTGCCGCCACCTTTTCCTTTGCCCTTCTCAGAAGAGCTTTTGCCTTTGCCTTTGCCCTTTCCTTTGTCACCCTTACCTTTGGGTGAGCCTTTCTTTCCTTTGCCCTTGTCTTTGCCTTTTCCTTTGTGGTCGCCCTTGATGCGATCCACCTCCATTGGCACAATCTGGTTGTGCTCGAGGATCTTGGTGCTTGACCAGGCAGCCGTAGATTGCTCGTAGGCCACCATCGACTCCCTAACCTGTGCATACCGAGTGCCAGGCTTCACATTCAGCTGCAAATGCTGTCGCAGCTGCCCAGGACAACAACGCATAACCGTTGCTATCTTCAAGTTCTCATCCAAGGAGCTTCCTGCCAGTCGTTCATACTCGCCGACCAGCTTCTCGTACTTCATGATCCCCTCCAGGATCTTACCCTTCTCGAACTGCGGAAAGGCCACCAATGCCTGGATGATTCCAAGCTCTCTTTGCCTTGTCTTGGGTTGGAATTCCCGACAAAGCCCTTGCCAGGCTCGAAAGCCATCAGTGTCCGTGACACTCCGGACGATCCGAAGTGGTCGCCCCTTCACAAAGCTGACCAAGTAGGCATACAGCTTCTTCGCTCTCTTCTGAACTTCCTCCTTGTACTCGTTCAACTTCAGGTCCTGCTCCAAGTCCTTCTCCACGTGCTCCAGGTCATTCGTGAACTCCTCCTCAATGAAGGCCAAGTAGCTCTTGAAGAGGAATGACCATTCAGGCCATGTAGACTGCTCCTCATCGACAGTCCCTGGAGACCACACTTCAGGCTTCAAAAGGGTCTTAGGATCGGCCTTGTTGCCGTCCTTCTCTCTCTCCTTCTCTCCAAGCTTTTGGAGAGTCTGGGCGCACACTCTCGTGAACCCGTGGAGCTCGGTCACTACCTGCTCCATGCTCGTCATGAGGCTTCAGCCTCCTCTTCCAGCGAACTTGCCCTCCAGGAAGCCACTGGCTCTGATTGCACCGCCGCCAGCTGCGCTGCTGTGAAGCTGCCAGCTGCTCTGCTCTGCCGCCACCTATGGCGACGAAAGGGCTCTTGAGGATCGGGTCCTGTCCTCACGGGATCGGGTCCTGTCCCTGGAGCTCACCGGAGACGCAAGCGAATCCTGATCACAGCTCCGCTACCATCTAACACAGCTCTTCCCTTTCAATCACTCTTGAGCTGTCGTGCTTGCGGCCTGTAAAGACCAGGTTTCTTCGTCTCAACATGTGCTTTCACATGGAGGTATTAGTGACACATCTCTTGACTGAAACGTGTTACACAAATCAATGTGTAGTATCAGCAGCATGTTAAAAACTCATGTGACTGCTTGCGGCCATCGACTTCTTTCTGCCTCGCAGGAGGCTCCGTGTGCAAAGGCAATGCGCTCTGCTGAAAAGGCTTTGGAGGACTATAGAACATTTTTGGATAATGTGCGTCTGCCCTAAATTTTGCCCAGCCCACTGCACTTTGCATCTGGGATTCCGAATGATGGATGGCAGGATGCCGCCAATTTGCCTTAGCTGCTCTCATGTATTGTTTTATGCTCAAACCTCTTGCCATGAAATCCGTTTGCTGGCTGTTGGATATGCTGCATGGTGTATTTCTCGGAAATACCAAACGTAACATCAATTGACAACTAGGGGCCCAGTACAATTGGAGGCTGCGATCACCTACATCGCATGGGCTGCCAAACACTGGTGATTACAATATAACGTAGTGCCAAGCCCAGTTCTTGCTTTGGAACGGGGAATGCATCCACATATGGCTGCCACCATGTTAGTGAACACATGAACTTGGAAGCCTGAGTGTTGAGAGCTCTCTTGTTGGCCCCGGGTGGATCGGGGTTCAACCAGAGCTGGAGTGGCAAGGCCTTCAGGGAAAAATGCGTATCAAACACTCAGATCAGGTGAGAGTGGGCTAGCTGTGATTCATCAAAACCTGCCGTGTGGCTGAACTGCGCAGGTGCTACACCGACAAATCCCCGAAGTTGGTGGATGAAGTCCAATCCGGAGCTACTTGGCCTTGTTTTTCAGGAGTCCCACTATGCACTCCTGATTTGATCCTGGTGGGTGATCTCATGTGATTTAAACACGTAGAGTGCCGTGCATGCATGTGCTGAGTAAAATGTGCACGGTACTATTGATCGCTTAGGCACAAGCTTAGGCCAGCAGCGCTGAAGCAGCCATCAGGCGTGCGCAAGCACACATGGAGGACTACATGGCTCACCACTGCCGGCCAGTGTGAGCTAGACTGATATAAATGTCTTTAAGGTTTGGCACGGTTTTTTGCCTTCAATTCCAATGAGGTATTGCACATGATGCTATGATAGCAGCCAGTTGGATGTACTTATATACCTGTCTTGTCGAAATGAGGCTGGCGCACAGAGATTTTCGAGTAGTACATGCATGGGCTGGATTGGGACAATTTTGCAACAGGACAGTGGTGGCTTATGTCATCCTCTTAGCCAACGTGTTGGCACCTATTCCACCAAAGGGCGGAGTAGCACGCGGAAACTGTTGCGCTGTAGCGATTTGAACTTGGTGTCTTGATCTGAAATCGAAAGTTGATTGTTAATGTTGATGTGGATTGATGGAATGTTTTGGGGCCACTTTCTGTGGTGCACAGGGTTGCATACTTGGAGCCGCGAATGCTCTCATTGCCTAGCAAAGCCGCCAAAGCTCCAAATGGCTACAATGAGATGGGAGATATCCCCTTTTTAGAGCCACACATGGTATTTCATCAGCTGTGTACCAACATTGGGTTGGATGTGCCACCCGGAAAAGTGCGCAACTCTGGAGAACACACAGGGATGAAACCAAGGAACCTTGGGCTACCAGTTTATGGTGACGGAGCCCGGATATTGGATGACGGGACAAAAATTGTTGGGTTATTCGTTTCTATGCCAGCAGTGTGGAGACCTCCTTCCAGCCGGTTCGCGTTGGTGCATATGGGCGTTAGAAGAACACAAGCTTTTTGCGCGGTGTTATATCCTTTTGAATTTGATCTCGGTATATCGCCTTGGCAAAGGATGCCATCAGGCCCTGATCTCGACGGAGTTGACATGTCGTTTGCTGAATGCATGCCTGCACACATGGTTTGGCAAAAGATGTTGTCACAGTTGTCACACATGTCAAACGTGTTGGACTTTCGAGAGGAAGGGACAAGACCTCTACAGGTTGAGGCCAAAGATCCATGCACCTTGGATTGTGAGCACGCGAGTGTCTTTACTCTGTCACGCAACTGTGCAATACAGAGTGTGCAGTCTGAGCTAGCTGAGATGGTGATTCATCTTGCAGAAAGAACTACAGGTGATCATTGTCTTCAACTATGAAGATACAAGTAGGATGAAACACCTTAATTAAGTGACCCTTGATTGCAATGTGTTTTTCCTCCTGCACAGCATGTGTCCTACTAACCTGGCCATTGCATCTTAAAGCTTCACAGTTCTGTTCCCTGTACGCTAGAGGTGTAAGCCGACGGGCCCATGCTATGTTTCGCTCAAAATGGGTCATGTATATGACGAAGCTCAATGCAAAGCAAAATCAAAGCGTTTCTTGGCTCTGCGTACATGCCTTTTGTCGTGTTCTTGTCAGGATTTGTTCCATGCCTCCTGGCACTATTTTTCATCTAAGATTGAACCAATCTTCAAAGCGAAAGGCTGTGAAGCACAGAACGTGAGAAGAAAAAGGTTGATTTTGAGAGGTAACGTCATTCTGCACTCTCAAAGGCTGGCAAGGTCCTTTTGCATTCCGTCGATTCCAACCTACGTACTTGACGTGATCCTTTTGATCGATTGGCTCGATGGCGGACTCCCGAGCCAAGCGACCAAGATCTAAGGACATTAGCGAACAAAACACTTCGTCCAAGAGGCGCCCTCTCTGAGGGCACCGGTCTCCAAAGAGGGTCCATGTGACGCCAAGCCGAGGAGGCTTGAGAAATGCTGCGGGTAGAAAATGGCAGATCATCTTCTGATCGGAAAAAACAACAATAGCTGCTCCACCGAAGCACCTGACAGCACAGGGTCACACGGCCAGACAGTCTGGACTTTGTCTGAACGCTGTGGGGGATCGGCCAATCTCATGGAGATGGCGGAAAAGCCCCACCTGACAGGTGCAGGCAGGGCCCCAAAGGGCCCAAGGGTGGTGCTGTGCCTGAAAACGACCGGAGGTCGAAGGCCCCAAGGAATTAATGTGATTGGTTAGATGTAATTAGGCAAGTGCCGGCAAGACACCAGAACATACAAACACCGATCTTGCTGCTTGTGGGAAGCTCCAATCGCAGTTCCCTTTCTTTGGACAGAAGAAAAACACCCACAACTTCTCCTCAAGTCACTCTTGAACCAAACATACAGGAGCTGCAGTGGAGTGTCTATATAATTGAACCATATTGAACCAAATTTGTTCTGTCGACAGGTTCCCCGCTGTGGTGATGCTCTTGGGAGCCCTGGGGGCCATGACCTGGTAACAGTCACTCTTGGTTTCTTTCAGCACTCAGCACCAATAAGATTTAGACCAAAACCTCTGATTTATGGCTCTTTTCGCATCTTATCATCACTTCACCAAGGCTAAAACAAGGCTGTTGGCACGAACACAAACTGCACGATAAAAAGGCCAAAGCAACATCAAAAGCAACGTCAAGCTCGCTCAAAACGCGTCTGCAAGTGCATCAGAGATCCAGCCCGCTGGCTTCGGTTCCTGCTCCTTGGCTGGAGCCGGTCCAAGAGGAGGCAAATTTTGCTGGTGAGGAGCTGTGGAGGCAGCAGCTCCTCTTCCAGGAAGGGGGCCACAGCCAGACCATTCCCTCAACCAGTCCAGTCGTTTGACATCTTTTGACTGCGGACACTGCAGTGACAAACGCGACCTCTTTTCAGATTTCTTGGACCCCTCAATATTCCCATGTTCGCCGCCCACACCACCAGCAAACTGCCACTTAGTTCGAACGGCGATCGAGCAGCGCGCCTGGCTCGCCCACGTCATCAAAGCTCCTCTGGTCTCAGGGGTCGCATTTTGAATCCAAGCCTTCAAAGCGTCCAAGACGAATTCCCGGATGGTGCTACGCTTCCAAGGCCCACTTTGACTCTGCCTCAGTTCGAGGCTGACAAATTAAATGAGGTTGTATTAAAAGCCCTCTGCCTGTCCCTATACCATTTTTGACGTTATCGTGTTTCTTCCTTATCGTTTTACGCACTTTGACTAACTGCAGCAAATTTAATATAATGTAGTGTGTGCACTACGTGTGTGTGGAACTTGCAGGCATGAAGACATTAGGCACACTTCATTCAAACTACACCCATGTGGTGGCCTGCCTACGGAAAGGTGATTTAGGTTTGCTGTGTTATCGTATTTGTTATCGTTTTGTTATCGTTGTCATGCCTGGTGCAAGTAGTTGGAAAACCATGTGTAGCAATGCTGTAGCATGCTGTAGCACAAGGCTAAAGCGGTCCAAGCCCTCCTACCTCTGTCCAATGCATTGACCCTGACAATTCGGAGATTTGGAACAGTACTAGGTTTTCTGTTTGTGTGTGCACACTACTTCTCGCATGTCAAGGGTTTTCCACAAGAGTCATCGGGGGTTATCGTTTTTCCTTATCGCTTCACAGAATTGAACATGCTTCTAGAAAAACAGACGACATGCGAATACGAATTTCCTACATGGGGCTGTTTACACTCTCTCAAATGCTGCAAAGGGTTAGACAAGCACCAAATCCCAATCACCAAAATCCCCCATGCAAGAGCCAAAAGGCCGGCAGGGTGGGTGGAACTTTCGTGAGCCTTTCCCTTATACCTTGTCGACGCAGGCCAAGGATAAGAGTGACTTCCCCTCTTCAACATTCTAACTCTGGCTGAGCGGCACGTGCTGGAGGATTTCGCCTTCCAAGGTCTCTTCATCCAGGTCGGCGAGGTTCACACCTCCCAGGCAGACCCAAGGGTGGTCTCCGAATGTTGGTGGGGTGGGACAGGGAGGCAGGTGGGAGGTGCCACGAAGTGTGCGTGTGTGTTTACCACCCAAGGACATGCCCACAAGAGTTTTCCACAAGTGTGTCTTACAAGGTGTCCCACGAGTGTGTCCCACAAGAGTGCCCCACAAGAGTGTTATAGAAGAGTGTCTCCTACAAGCGTGTCTCCTACAAGAGCGGCCACAAGAGTGTCGCGCCAAAGCTTTCCACCGGAGCATCCCATAAGAGAGTGTCCCACAAGAGCACCACCTACAAGAGTGTTCTAAAAGAGTGTCAAACAATGTTTGGCCGTTTGTTTCCGAGTGTGTGTGTGTGTGCATTCGGGTTCGTGGGTTTCCCCAAGGACATAGGCGGAATTCGTGTTTTAACGCTTCTCCATCACCCGTAGAAAAGCCAATATTGGAGGGGGGTTCCAAATCCGACTGGAAGCCTGACGGATTTTTGGACCTTCAAAATGTTTCAGAACTCAGAAACCTTTGGCTCTCTCAGAACGTTTGGAAACGTTCCCCCCCAGGGCCTTCCGAGTGGAGCACCTGCACCGCCTCCAACACGGCCTTCAGGATTCGGTGGGGTGCAGGAATGGTGCGAAGGGTGCACCGTGCATCCCAACCGGCGGCGGGGTTGTGGGGGATCCAAAACAAGGAGTGTGAAAGATGAAACGCATGATGCCCCGACAGATCATGATGTGTTCATGGGATCAAACGCATGTGATTATGAATTATGAATGCAAAAAACAATCGCTCACAAACAACACGTGGGGCTCGTCTCAGACCCCTCCACGCCATGACCGCAGTAAATTTATGCATTCTCCAGCCACTGAAGTGGGTTAAGCAAACATACGCAAGTGTCAAAACAAAGGGCTAGGTCGTTTTTCAACACGTTGTGGGTAAAAAACATAGTATGCCTTGTGTTCTTCTCTTCTTTCTTTGGTTCCTTCGTCCTGTCCCGTCCCTTCCCTTCCTTCATAAAATCGCTATTGATCCTGATTTAAACATGCTTTGTTGATCTTTGTAGTAACTTTGACCCTGATAATGATAATATGTTTTTGATACCCATGCCAAATCCTGCCATCCAAATGATCCGAGATGCAACCCTTTGCAATAAACTCACATGTGTCCCTCTCTTTTGGGCGGGCCCTGTCTCATTCAGCCTACTTACTTTTGTAGCAAATCACATACAAATGTTGCGTTTCTATATACACGATGTCCTTCAAACATGTTCAGACTCACAGTATATACTACGAGTAGCAAGTTCACTAGCAAGAAATCAATGTCATCAAGTCTTGAGGTATCTCG